GGAGTGCTTCATGCCAGTGGAGGGGGAGGAGCCTGCAGAGGAAGGTGTGGAGGGGGACGGGGAGGAGGTCAGGTTGGGGAGGGAGGGGCGCTGGGAACGACTCGTCTCCATCGGCGACGACGCCTGAGGGGAGGGGCTCTCTGCATCGTCATGGCGATGGCTGGGGGGGCGGGGGGCGGCAGCACGAGTGGAGGGAGAACGTCCAGAGGAGCCGTCTGTAAACAAACAAACAACAACAACCGTGGGCTAAAAATACAAGCCAAGTATTTATGACCACATTACATAAATAATTCAATTAAATATACAATCAGAAAAGAAAAAAGAAGAATACAAAAATGTAATCACTGAAAATTAAAGCTTGCAAAATTTTAAAAAATATATTCAAAACAAATAATTAACTATAACAGTAAGCTGTACAAACAAAATTTTAAAAATCTAAAATGACTTAAATCAAAAATAAACATTACTACAACATAAAACAATGTAAAAGTACAAATAAATGATAAGAAAAATATTGAAAACAACAAAATATAGTATAAATATTTCTAAAAGTTAGTAAAAAAACAAAACAAAACATTTATACTCACCTCCGACTGGCCTCAATTTGGGAACTCCGCCCGTGAACAGGCCTCCGATTGGTGGAGCAGAGCCTGACGGACTGGACGCTCCGCTCCCATTGGCTCCTGCTGTTGCAGCTCCGCCTCCTTTGGGCTCTGAGAACCACAACCATTAGACAGGTGAGTGACAGCTCCACCTCTTGGTGGCGCTGCTCTACACTGACACTATGACGACACTACGATGACATCACTGGGGTGACAGATGAGTTAGTGTGTGAGGCGGGATGCAGGCGAGGTCAGGTGGCTACACTCAGGTGAGGGGCGGTGAGATGAGGTGACGTGACTTTAAATTTAAACGTTTACGCTCCCACGCAGCTCCGATGACGTCATCGACAGCACAACAAACAGTCGGAAACACGTTAATCATAACTCATGACATTACAGGTGATCAGAGCTGCACGGTCGCTAATTCATCAATAATTTATAACAACATTTTATTAAATAAAGTCTCTGAGGCATTGTATTTGCCGGGTAGGGCTGGGCAAACAAATAGCAAAACTATAACAACACAGTGTCAGTCGTTCCAAAAATAAGACTACATTTTATCTATCAGGTGACGCTGGCCGTAAACACATTGGCCCAAATATAAGACTATAGATTAAGCTAGTGCCGACTCTAAGTATATCGGCCTGAATGTATGACTACATTTTGCCGAGAAATTTATTTGATGAGAGAACTACCTGTTGACAGCATCAGATATAATGTTTAAATGAAAAACTGACAACAGCTAGCCGCTAATGGCTAACAGTAGCGGTTCAATACAAACGTTCCATTAGAAAACTGTCATTTTTTTGCTGGTATTAAACTTTGGGAGTTTCTGGTTTTAGCTCTTAGTGTTTCTGTTTAACGCACAGTTTTACCTGACAGGAGTTTAATGTAGTTTATTTGACTAGTTCAATGAATTTATGTGAAATATTCTACATTTATAGGTCTGTTTTTTGTTTGTTTAGAGTGCATTTCCACTTTTAGGAATCTTTAAACTTTCAGGGCTTTCTAAAGGCTCCTGTGATGCGTTTTGTTGCTACGTTGGAAATAAACTCATGATGACTGAATGCTAACCTGGTCAGTCCCATATTTGGGCCGATACAGTTTGTACCATTGTTTGCAAAACTGCACCATTTCTGTGTTACTGCAGCGACCTGATGACTGTCGTTGCTCTTATTTCACCATGTTGAGGACAGACTCACCTCCAGGTCAAGACTGAAACATTTTTCACATCGTTCAAAAACTAAAATTCACAAGAGCTGAATTAGTTTTGCGTCTGTTCCAGCTCTACTGTGAGATTAAGTGTCTGCAGCTGTTGTTAAAGGATAGTTCTGGTTGCTTACAACTCGGCTCATGTTTGCGTTGAACTTTTCTGGAGGAGAAAACAGAACATTTACCGTGTGAAAGCAGCAGGAGGTGATTAGTGGTATTAATGAAAGTAAAAATCAGAGCCGAGTTGAGATAAAGCAGAATTATCCTTCAGCAGGATTCTTCAGAGCTGTGCAGCAAGTATGAAGCTCAATTCTGTAAAGATCAGAGATGTCTGCCGCCTACTCAGGTGTCACCTTCCTCCACTGCAGGTAAACAGGAAGCTGTGAGGATCAGCTCAGTGCAGCAGGTCAGCAGTGATTTTATAACTAAGATCAACCGATGATTGAGCCGATAATCAGTCTTTTTTTTTCAACAAAATCTGCCTGAATTTAATACTGCATTTTCTCTTACGGTTCAGGGTAAATATATCGGCCTCAGCATAAGACTACACTTTGGCCCAAACGTAAGACTACATTTTACTTGTCAGGTTGGGCTGACAAGAATTTATCGAATTATTGCTGGTTTTTAAAAATGTATTTAAAATAAAATAATGGAAAAATGTTCTGCTTTGTCTCTGGTGCAGCCTCGTCTGTCTCTCTGTCTGTCGTCAGGCTTTGGTTTATGTCCCGCGATTATTGACCATCAGAATCACTGAACAAACCACATTGGTCGGCCCTGAATCAGAATCCACAGTGACAGATTCCATCAGAGTGAACGTCCTAAACTATATGTAAATCAATAAAAGTCATTTTAAATAAAGGCCTGCTGTTGTCTGCAGGTTTCAGATGATTCACAGTGAATCTGATATTCTGTGTTTCCAGGAATGAAACTCTGCGTGGACGGCAGACATGTGACCTCACGCAGCATCAAGTGCAGCTGTGCAGGAAGCTGCAGCGTCTGTTTAAGCAGCCGCTCCGTCACCTTCCACCAACCAACAGTTTAATCTGCAGTCTGAGACCGCGGAGCCGAAAGCAGAGAAACAGAGGAAAAGTTACAGCAGGAACATGAAGAACCTTCACTGCAGTCAAAGTACAAACTGAGACACAAACAGAACCGAGCAGTCAGATGAGCGACAGGAAAAACGTGAAAAACAAACATGAACAAACAGTAAAATCAGAATCTGTCCTGATGTGTTTCTGTACAACTCAGTCTGGATCAGATTAATTACTCAGAGCTGCAGCTGCTGAGAAGCTTTGAATCCTCTGAACTGAATCGTGACGTTTCAGGAAGTAGTCAGAGCCTCATGTTTTGATACGATTACGGTTGTAGACTTCAAATCAAATTGTTAATTCTAACTAAGGTTCATTCCATCCCAAATCATCAAAGTTTTTTTCTGCTCGACCATCTTTGACCAGGTCAGCTGATCCCTCCCTCCCCCCTGTGGACAGGAACATGGCGGCTGTTTAAACTAAGCAGCGTCCTGCAGCAGCCGTAGTATCAGAGGAGATGGAGGTCTTACTCTGGCTGTCCTCGGTCCCGTGCGGCTCCTCGGATGGCGCCCCCTGCTGTTTGGGCTGGCTCTGCTGCTGGTGTAGGTATTGGTATAAGCGAATGTATGGGTGCTCTGTGGGGGGTGTTTGGCTCTTTGGTGTTTGAGTCTTACTGTCGAGCAGCGGCGCGCTGCGGTCGTTCACCACCGCCACCTTCTTCAGCTTGGTGCCTTTACAGATGTCGGACAGCAGAGCACCGCGACCTTTGGCCTCTTCCCTGTTCAGCTTCGGTGGGCTGGTGTTTGCCTGGGGGGGGCAGTTACAGTGTCACTGAGGGGTACATTACCCCCAACGGGCAGGAAACATGCAGGACATGTTTAACTGGATGTCATATTAACACACGACCTGCAGAGTTCTGCAACATCTGTTCAACATGGGGCCACACAGTGGAAAGAAACAAGATGGAAAAAGAGCTCTTTTCTGGAGGTTTTGTGTCTCTTTGTGGTCATTTAGTCTCTTTTAATGTGCCTCCTTGTGATTATTTTGCATCTCTTTGTGGTCCTTTTGTGTCTCTGTGGTTGTTTTTTGTCTCTCTGGGGTCATGTTGTGTCTCTTTATTACGGTTGAGTGTTGTTATTTAAGCTTTCAACATATTGAGTTATTTTAAACAGAAGTCCACAGGCCTGTTCAGTTGTCATGAAGGATGTAAACAGATGATGATGATGATGAGAGTCCTCACCTGACTGAAGGTGGGGGGAGGTGGGGGTCCCCCTGGTGGAGGAGGAGGGGGAGGGATGGGCATCCTGCTGCAGATACAACACACACCTGATGACCCTGAAACACAAACACAAGTACTGATTCACCTGCAGATTATTGACCTGATTCATTCGTCAGCAAAACAGTGAAAAATCGAAGGTTTTTTTTCTTTCCTGACAAACACAATACAGACTTCACTGATCATAATCAGGTTTTAACCTGACTGGAGAGTCCACTTGTTAGTTTAGTCAAGATTTACTAAAGCAACAGAAAGTGATTTTAGATCCAGATCAGGACCTGGTTTGTGAATATCATCTTAAGACTAACAAGAAGATATATGCTCTGGTCTGATCTTCATATAAAAATGGTTTATTTCACTATCCAGACCAAAATCTGACACACTGAGTCTGGACTAGATTCACATGGAGACCAATTTAATCCAGACTCTAGAGGCTGCTCATACCTCTGTTGGATTCACATGAAGACTGCAGACTGATTTCTGAGCAGGGAAACCTTCATTCTGCTTGTGACGCCAGAAGAAAATGTCTTTTTTTGCTGTTTTCTCTCCACCCAGAGCACATGAAAGCAGCTCTTGATCTGTCAGACCTGAACTATTTCAACGTGGTGTCTCTACTGTCCGTTTGATGTCCTGCTGAATTAGATTTAATAAAAACCAGTCCAGTGTTTTTCACCATCCTACCGCATTAAACCTTTCTCACACAGCAAAATGGACTGAATCCTGCAGCAGGTGAACAAACAGACTCTACAGATTTTTTAATATCCACATTCTGATTCCTGCCTCCATTATTCTGCTCCTTAAGTCAGAACAAAACTGCGAGTCCGAGTCTGTTTCTCAGCTTCGTCAAGCTAGCTGCATTAGCTCCTGGCTAACACCGGCCCGGTTCTCAATCTCTGCAGGATGCTAAGCTAACACGTTCGCCTCTCTGCTAAGCTCCTCTCCAGCTGTTTTACAGTAATAATGAACATCTGTCTGGGCAGATAGAACCGCAGCACAGCGCTCTATACGCTGCTGCTTATTGGTGTTAGCTAACCGTGCTAGCCCAGCCTGTCAGTCCTGTGTTAGCATTAGCAGCAGCCCTGTGCAGCATCAGCTCCCAGCAGGACAGGTGACATAAATAAGTCTTACCTGTGAGCGTCACCGCCTCTCCGTCGTTTAGCTCATACTCGGCGGTTTTCGGGGTTGAACCTCCAGCTGCGCTCCTCCTTTGCGGACCGTTAACTCCGCCGTTAGCCGTTAGCTCCCGTGCTGCAGAGCTCTGATTTGATTCCTCCTCAGTCAACACAGGAGCACGTGACCTAACGGAGGACATGCACTGCTGCAGCTGCAGCTGCTGCACCGGAGCTCAGTCAGCACGCAGCGACACTACTAATACCCATGTAAATATTACTACTAATAACAATATAGACAACAATAGCAATAAGAATACTGACTATAATATTATCATTACTAATAATACCAATAATACTGCAATGCTGCATGCTCAGTCAGCACACAGTGAAACTACTCATTACAGTACTACTAATAATACCAATAAATATGCTAATAACAATATTAATACAAATACTGATAGTAATACCAATTATTTATTACAGATAACAATATTAATAACAATAGGAAAACTAACACTAATACTAATTCTAAGGATACCAATAATGATAGTAATATTAATATTTACACTAAAACTACCAGTAATAGCAATAATTTAAATACTATTTTTCGTTTGAGTAATCCTAAAAAATTATACTCATACAAATATGAATGGTGATACTACTGTTAATGCTAATAATAACACTACAAATAATACTAATATTAACAATAATAGCAGTACTAATGATAATACTAGCAATAACACTAATACTAATAGCATATACTAATATTTTTATATTTTATTACTATTTGTAGCAATACTACTGTTGCTGCGAATACTAACAATGATGCTAATAATAACACCTCATATGATTACGAATATTATATTTGACTTTGGTTATTTGTTTGTATTTATTTAATATTCAATTTCACTTTGGTTGATGTTAGTATCCATTTTTTATTTTGTTCGAAAAAGTATACCTAATACTAAATATTATTATTTTAGGCATACAAATAATAATAATTGTGGAAAATAAAGTCGGCATAATACATAACAAAAGATTAATAACTAGTATTATTATCATGTTTTTAAAAACAGAATTAATGATTTTTCACAATCATTAGAACTACAACAATATTACTATTTTTGTGACATGAAGTTTAATCAAGTGAAATTCTTCTTCTTCTTCTTCTTCTTCTTCTTCTTCTTCTTCTTAGAGAAGCTTAAAAACAATACAGGAAGAATTTAATTTCTTCATTTAATGTATCAATCTTCTAACTACATCTTCCAATGCCTTTAAACTTGTTTAACTTTACTTATTTTAATGTTTTCCCCTTTTATGCAGTTTTATTATTGGACGATAGGTGTCACTGTTTGTTCATTTGTGTCATTTTTTTCCATAAAGGTTTTTTTTTTTAGGTAGCCAGTGATTGGCTCTAGGGTCTTAAACGTCAGAGGCAGTCAACCAATCAGATCACACGTCGTACCGCGGACATTTCAAAACACAAATGGCGGATGTTCGAGCGTAAGTGTCCTAAAATATTAAACATTTACGGCTTTATGTTTTCAGCAAACATACCGTGGACCCATTTAAAGTGTTTTAGAACCAGTTTACCGTTTAGACAGAAGTTTTTTGTCCAGAATTCTGAACGTAGCATATTTAAATATATGAGGATTACCGACAGTGAGCGGTGTTAGTGAGCTAACTGAAGCTAACTATTGTTTTCCGTCATTGTTGTTACATGAAGCTCTGTTTGTGTGTTTGTTTGTTTGTTTGTTGTCAGTGTGCTGCAGCACTGTGATCCGGTTCTCCTGGGCCCCTGCGGGGACATGGAGCCGGACTGTACAGAAGCAGCCCGGATGGTGCTCAACCTCACGGTGAGTTGCTTCCCCTGCAGCCGCTCACAGTTACACAGTGAAAACAGTCTGAGTGTGTGTCGGGTTGTGTAAACGTTAGTTAGTAAGTCATTGTTAATAAAGCACGCTTAAAACAAAACAAGAGCCATCAAACTGCTGTACAAGCCACACATTAAGAGATAATTCAGTAAAACATGGCTTTAAAGCATAAACATCAGGTGATGAAGAGAAGAAAAGTATTTTTCTGTTAACCTGGACTATGCTTGTATTAGATGGTGATTTGTTTATTGATATAGCAGTTATACAAACTATTTCTCTAGATACATATTGATAAATTGTTCATGATTAAATGATGCTTACGGCTCTGTGTGTGTGTGTGTGTGTGTGTCCGTGTGTGTGTGTGTTTAGGAAAGTCGTAGAGTCCAGAAAGTTTTGTGGCGTCAGGTGTTTGTTCTGGACTCCATGATGTCGCTCCTGGAAGGTCTGGAATCTGTTCAACAACTGATGACACAGTCCTGCCTTCCGCAGCCTGGTAAACACACACAGTAAACACTCATGGAAACACTGAGGTCTTGACTCACCTGAGAAAGCTTTGACTGGACGTCCACCTGTAGTGTTCACACCTCACCTGTGTGTGTGTGTGTGTGTGTGTGTGTGTGTGTGTGTGTGTGTGTGTGTGTGTGTGTGTGTGTGTGTGTGTGTGTGTTTCAGAGAGCGGGGCTCGCGGCAGGTGGAAGGCTCTGAAGGCAGACAGCAGGTCCGGGTTAGAGGAGACGGAGGTTCTACTCAGATCTCTGCAGGACCGAGTCCAACAAATACACAACAGAAGAAACACACTCACACAGCTGGTTCAACAGCTGCACAGCAAGGTGACCTCAGATACACACACACACAAATCAAACACCTGATCACAACTCTGCTGAGGATGACACCTCAGCTTCTTTTCTTCTCTGCTCTCTTCATGTCCTCTCCTTACCTCCTCGTCTCCTTCAGAAGCAGCAGCGTGAACAGCTGGAGGAGTCTCTTCAGAAGGCCCAGGATGCATTGCAGTCATGTGACCATCAACTGAGCCTGTTGAGGGCGGAGTCAGAGAACGTGCTCGGTCAGCTGATCGGCTGGCAGCAACTCAGAGATGAGTGAGTGTCGTGAGGTCACGTCACTCCTGGTTCAAGGGTTCTGATTGGTCACTGACTCTGCTTCTTGTCCACCTGTCAGGCTGCAGACGCACCTGTCTGCCGTCCAAGACGTCATGCAGATCAACCTGCTGACCTTCAGCCAATCAGAGCTGTGTGTGGAGCTCAGGCCACGCCCCTCGTGCACCCTGTCGTCCAATGAGCTGGAGCCGCTGAAGCTGTCAGTCACTTGGAGCCATGACGACCGCTTCAGACTGCAGGTAACCTCCAGGTGTTGGTGATGTCATCAGGGTCCTGTATCTGTTCGGTCGATTTTAAATAAAAGAGGAAAATATTTTTTAGATTTCAGGGTTTGAAAAGAGAAAATCTGCTGCTTTTCTTTGTCTGCAAAAAATCAAAAACCTGATTTAAAGCTACCCTTCATCAGTGTCTCAGTGTCTCCCTGTGCAGTGGCGCTCTGCTCCCACAGCTCCTGCTGCTCTTTAACACTTCCTGGTAGTCCTGTTCTATAAACATGTCATGTTTTGTGTTTCTGTCACTGTTGTTTTGTGTCTCTTTGTGGTTGTCTTGTGTCTCTTTGAAGTAGTTTTGTGTCTCTGTTGTTGTTTTGTGTCTCGTGGCATTCTTTCTTTGTGTGTCTTTGCTGTTAAGCTGCTGTTTGGTTTGTGGGTCGGAGCTGTTCTTTGTTCATCAGCGTTGTGAGTGTAGATCAGCTGTCACTTGTGTGTCTGTGTTGGTTTAGTTTTATTGTGGGATAGAGTGTCTCTTTTACAGTAAATCCTGCAGCAGAGCTTCTAGGTGAGTCCACAGCGTCTCTGTGTCTGCAGGTGAGTGACGGGACGGCCGGTCTGGTGGAGGACTGCCTGTCTGGCCGCCGGGTGGAGCTGAGCACCGCCCTGCTGGAGGTGATGCAGTGTTACGTGGGGCAGGCCGAGCTGCTGTCAGAGATCCAGGCGCTGAGATCCAGGTGAGGCCTCTGATCAGTGACCAGTAACACAGCTGACTGAGAAACTTCTCATTCAGAACTCCCTTTACTAAACAACAAGTTTTGTGTTTGCAGCTTCCCCATCGACTGGCGTCCTGCTCAGCGCCTCCTCATCTACCTGAAGACGGCGTCGCTGGTGTGTCACCTGGAGGTGGAGGAGGGATACCCGAGCAGCGGGAAGGCTCGACTGCTGTCAGTGCAGCGAGATGGACAACCTCTGGACACATCTGGACTGAAGGTAACAACAACCTGAGTCATATTTGACTCACATTAGTCAACTTAGTTATACAGAACATTTAACACTTCAAACTCCAACCAGCAGCTTCTGGAAGTTCTTTTGCACCTGTCACATTTTTCCTCACTGGAGGATGCTCTTCAGAAGGTCAACTCATTTGTCCACATCAAAATCAGGCTCATATCTTGTTAAATTTCAGCATGGAAGCAGCTTGTAGCTTCACACATATAATAACATATAGACGCCTATGAACACCAGTTTTTGTTTCCTACTGAGTCCATGTCAACATTTAGCCAAAATATGTAAAAACTGGAACCTTGTCTTGTCAGACCTTCCGCACATCAGATTCTACTGGTGTGTAGACCCTTAAAAGTCGGCGAAATGTCGACCAAAGACTGTATTTTTAGTAGGAAACATGAATACATCCACATATGGAAACTTACAGAAACTTTCTGGAGCCACAATACCACCAAAATTGTAACATTTTTTCAGTAATAAAAATGTGTCCTCTGCTGGATCCATTCAACCATTATGATCTGCTGGAACATATTCTGTCCTTTCCTCGCCACATTTCATGGTTTTATTTCTGGAGATATTGAACCCTGAAAATGGCTTCACAGGTTTTTTTTCTGAGGGTGAAAAAACAAAAATCGTCCTGAAAAAAGTGAAATTCTGTAGTCAATTGTAAATATGAGTGATTTGATGTTTGGTGTCTCAATGAACTTATTGTTTAGTGAAGGCCTACAGGTGACTTTTTGTTCTTCTTTAGCTTAGTACATCCTGTTATCTGGTTATCAAAGTGAAACAACTGGTGTCTCTGTCTGTGTTTCAGCCTCCTAACACTGGTCTCAGTCTCACCAACTGGTTGGTGTTTCTCAGCAGCAGTTCGTTCATCTGACCCACGTTCTGTTGTCCTCACTTCTTCTTTTTTTCCACCCATTTCTCTTTTTGTCTGCTTTGTCCACTCTCACCTTCATCTACATTCAGCTCCTTCTGTCTGTCTGTCAGCTGGATTTCTTTGTATTTCTGACATCAAAGTGTAAATAAATCTTTTACATCGACACCAAACCGACTGCGAAACATGATTTCTTAAATACAAATATTGATTCTGACAAATAATTCACATTTCTCCGCTCCAAAGTTTTTAGCTTTCTTCACTTTTTGCCTTTTGTTTTGTTGTCAATTTACTTTAAACAGATAAAACTGACATTTTTGCTGATCAATCCACACTTAATAACCTGTAAGTCCAAAATGAAATAATGCTTATTTTGTTGTTTTGTGTTTCTGCTCACAAATGATTCATTTAAAGGCACAAATTAAGTATTTCTGGGCAGCAGTGTGACTTATTGTAAAATAAAGTTTTTGAATAAGTTAACCAACAAATACATATATGAGCACAAATGATCATTTATGTGTATGAATGAAAGTTTTTACTCTTCGACGCCTGCTGGGCTCCATAAACATGAAACGTTTTTAAATGGTAAAAAAAAACATAAATACAATACGCAAAGTGCAAATGTATAGTACACAAAAACATTTTCAAAGTAAAATCATGGACATAAAAGGAAAATATGTTTGAAAAAAATTGTAATCAAAAACTAAATAAAAAATATAGACAAAAAGAATTCATAGTTTTCCAAAAACTTAAAATAAAAACCAAACATCCATAAATTCATGTAAATTTAAAAAAAAAAAAAACAACAGCACATAATTGGTAGAGAATTACATCATAGAAATAATACACAAACATAAAGCATACCTTAGAATTTTAAATAAAGAATAATAATAATCGACATAAAAACTTTTTTTTTAAACTGTACAAATAACATTAAATGTTTACATAAATAGCAAAACAGGTATGAAAAAAATTTAATCAAAAACAAAAAAAATGTAATAATTTAAAAAGTCAAATAAAATTAACAAATACAAAGGAAACTAATAAGAGAATATTTCAAGAAATTTCAATAAACAAAAATAAAATGTAAAATATTTAAATTAAAAAAGAATTGTTGTTAATAATGTAAAATACAGACTGAACACCGACGAGCAAACAAGACGATTAACTGAATGAAAATATAGAAATTTAACAAACACCAGCAGGAGGCGCTGTTTACTGCTGTTTCCCAGAATGCACTGCCACACTCCTACTGTACACTGTGACATAACACAGGTACACGTGATCCCATAAGAAACAGACTGAGCGTCTCCAGCACAGAGGTCCTGTGTAAAATTCAAGGATTTTTATGAAGCAGAGAGTTTAAACAGGCTGAATTATTCTTAATGTTATCCTGTTTGCAGTTTAGTGTGGTTCCTCTTGCTCTTTGTTGAAAAACATTAAAAACAGAATCATGTTAAAGAATATAGAAGCGTTAAATCATTAAAAAAAATTACTGGAGTTTGGTTTAAGAGGAGTGAAAGAGGGAGTTTCTGACTGAAGTTTCTTTGAAGAATGAGAAAATTCTAAAATCATAAAAAGTACAACTGGAGTTTGGTTTAAAGAATATGTAAGTACGTAAATGTAGTGTTAAAATTACATACATGAGGAAAGTGAAAGAGCAACAACTGTAAATGTTTTATTATTTTCTGATGTTTACAATATTTAAATGTTAAAACATCAAACTTTAGAAGTTTGCGAGGAGTTTTTTAAAAAAAAATATAAAAACCATCTGGTTGGAGTTTGGTTTGAGAAATGTAAAGAAAATCTGCAGGTTTCTGTCTAAGGTTTGGTATCAAGGCGTCGCAAATCAAGTGTAAGTTTATTAAAATTCTGGTGACAGTAAAAACAGCAGAATTTAGACTGGAGTCTGGTGCAAAGCTAAGGACAGGTAAACGGACCTAAACAGAGCCTGGACAGTGTAACTTTGTTATTTGAGGTGTTTTTATTTATAGTGGAGGAGCTGAGCTGTGCTGGATTTGTAGGTTGCAGACGTGTTGTTTCTGTGACTTCTGAGGAGAAAAATGATGAATCAGACTTAAATAAGTTCAGATGTCTTTCTGATTGTGCAGACCGGTGGGGTTCTGCCAGGACACAGTTTTCAAAGTTATTATGTAAGACATCAACACTGTCAGGAAGCGGCGTCTGAATCGGTGTGAAACTGGGACACAGAGCACGTCTCCGCCTGCTGCCTCCTCATTGGTCAGTGAGGATGCTGAGGTCCAGAGGCAGCCGGCCAATCAGAGAGCAGAGATGAAAGTTGGTTATGAGGCTGCAGTTCGACCTACTTTCTCCTCCTGTGACTCACTTTTCTTCTGCCTCCATCTCTAAAGCTGCCCCACTGACTCCACATGTCTCTGAAACACACACTAAAAACACCAACAGTTGTATTTTTACATTAGATTCTGTCAAAGAGTAATCAAAACCTGAACAACTTTCATCCTTTATCCTGTTTCTTCTCACAAAACCCTGAATCTCGTTGGTACAAGGTCCCCACTTCGCTTTCAGGAATCATTAGCTGATCCAGGTCACTGTTGCTGCTTTAGACTGAGGCCTGGGGAAGGAAATGGAGAAAAAAAAAACAAAGTGAAATCATTAAGAAATGACAGGAGTTTGGTTAAAGGGGAGTAAAGGAGTGTAGAAACTGTCGATGTTTGATCAAAGTTTGGTGTCAAGAACATGTGAGAGTAAAATCATCGTCTGAAGATGTCAGGAATGAGGAATTTTCAAAACCTGAAAAAATTTGGCTGGAGTTTGGTGTGAGAGGAAAGTGTCAAAGAAACTAACTGAGGTTTGCTATCGAGATTGAGGAATTTTTAAACGGATTATAAATCAGAATGGAATTTGATATGAAACACAAGCAGGTGTAAAAAAAAGGCCACAACTGGAAACATCTGAAGTTCGATGTGAAGAATGAGGATTTTTTTCTATTTTTAAATGACCAAAATGTATTTATGTTTTCCTTTATTTATTTATTTTGTGCCAGTACAGTGATGCAATAATCGACTCACCGAGGTTCATTGTTGAAATCTGCAGTTTTTACTCTTTCACTAAACTTCAGTTTTGATCATTTTACATTTGCTTCATGTCAGATTTGTGACACCAAACTTCAGTCAGAAACCTGCAGATTTTACTTTTTTTCACTTGTCTCAAAGCAAACGCCATTCAGATGGTAGTTTTTGTTGTTCTTGGAAAAGCTCAGAAATGCTGCGAGTAAATCATTAGAATTTTTCATGTCCATCCATCCATTATCTATGCACCACTTAATCCTCACTAGGGTCATGGGGGGCTGGAGTCTATCCCAGCTGACTCAGGGTGAAGGCAGGGGACACCCTGGACAGGTCACCAGTCTATCACAGGGCTACACTTAGAGACAGACAACAACCAAGCACACTCACATTCACACCTATGGACAATTTAGAATCACCAATTAACCTCAGCATGTTTTTGGACCTTGTGGGAGGAAGCTGGAGAACCCGGAGAGAACCCACGCTGCATGGGGAGAACATGCAAACTCCACACAGAAAGATCCTGGGTGTTCTCACCAGGATGTGAACCGGCGACCTTCTTGCTGCGAGGCAACGGTGCTAACCACTGAGCCACCTTGCGCCACCATGTCAGATTGTGAATAACAAGAAAAATCAAACAAAGCCAGACGGAATTCTTCAGTGTATATTTATATATATATAATGTCTTTACAACATAAAACACAGATTAAAATACATACATCAGAACATCTCATTTCCATCGGGTGCAACATATCAAACCTGCAGAACGAACACTTGGTGCCCCACACACTTATACACTCATAATAACTGCACAAGCATATATTCATATTAACAAAAATATAGATGTAGAACACATCTCAGCTCCCCAACAGTTCAAGTATAACTGGATATTTGTGTTTATGACTATTTACAGTTTTTATACAGAAGATCTGCTGCATAACGTTGGTCTGAGGCGCTGCAGCGTCTCATTGGTCAGTGGAGCTGCTGCTTCTTCGTGTGATTGGCTGGTGTTGTTGGGTCTGAGGTCCTTCCAGCCACTCAAAGTCTGTTTGGAAGTTTCTGGATGTTCCCCAAACAGTTTGGAAGAGTCTGAGGTTTACCGTGAGTCCTGTCTTCTGTTTTCTCCAGAGTCAAAGTTCACTTTTTAAAGGAGCCGCCACAAATAAACCAAAGTTTATTCCATCAACTGCAAATCTGCGAGTTCAGTGCAGCTAAAATGAAAAGATTTTATCCCAAAGTTGGCCAGTTTATAAATAATTGTGGATTCTAATAGATCTATGCACATGAGGAGGTAAAATAGACATGATTGTGACTTGTGACAATTCATCAGATTCAGCAAATATCTGCAAATATCTGTATAACAGACAAACAAGAATGTCAGTGTTAGACAAATATAAGAATATAAGACATTCTGAGTCTTAGTTGAGCCAGAAAATGTATTAAAAAACACAAATACAGTAAAAATATAAAATATTTACTGTATTTTATCAGAGTGGAAGTCACCTAATCTGAACACATAACGAGTTTTGAGATAATTTTCCGCTAACTGACACTTTAGCTTAATCACACAGCATGTTCAACATAAATTTTGATAAAAAATATGTTGTTAGTACGTTTTTCTACCTGTGGAACCAGGGTCATCAGGAAAACTTCTATAAATTCCTGTTGTGAAGTAAAGTACAGACAAAGAAGTGGGGTGGCTAGGCTAGGTTAGGCTAGCAGTGTTTGAGCTAAGCTAACACTTTGGTTAAATTATTCGTGACTGTTTTTGGGTAAATTTGTTAAAATGTGGGACTATTCCTTTATTGCGTGACTCTGGAGGAGCAGCTCTGTGGGCAGACTCTGACTTTGGCGGGAAGCCATGTGCTGAACAGTGTCAGTCTTTACAGTGTCGACATCACAGCGGCCGCAAACTCCGCCTCTATGGGCCGGCAAGCGCGGTGATGTAACGTTGAGGTCATCAGGCGTCGATGCGGAAGGACAGCAGCTTCTCAGAGTGCATGTTGTTGAGCGTGCGCAGGTCAGGCAGCTTTAGCAGCAGTTTGGTGAAGCGCGGCGAGTCCATATTGAGGTGGTTGTTGCCAGGGGCGCCGGCCGACTTGTTGATCAGCAGGCGCAGAGCTCTGATCAGGTTCTCCTGCAGCTGCTCCACTGACGCCACGTTCTCAATCCCGGAACGGTCTGAAACAGCAGAACACAAACAGAGTCAGCTACAGTTAGCCAACTACCAGAGCTGTATGCCAGTCAGCTAACTCTGACAGCCAAACTTAAGTTTTGTTTTGTTTCCAATTTGCTGAGACCACACTCTATTGAGAGTTTAATTTTTTTAATTTTTTTTCTAATTCTTGACACTAAACTTTAATCAGAAATGTGCAGGCTACACTTTTGCACGTTGCTCACACCAAAGTCCATGTCATTATTTGCTCATTTTACACAAACTAGCTAACTCTTAGAACTGGTTGCGAATCAGCTGACTCTCAGAGCGTGTTGCTAATTAGCAAACTCTGGTTTAGATCAAATCAGAGATGCATTGTTTGGTAAAGGATAGTGACAAATCTACGACCACTGTCATGACGATCAACAGGTTTCATAACAGTAACTAAGGAGGCGGGGCTTAATAACAGGTGAATTTAATTGCTGCTCACCTGCGGACACCAGCACCACGGCGGTGAACAGGCCCAGCTCCTCAGCATTCAGCTCCAGCATCGCCAGCTTGTGGCTAAAGTCAAACATGGCTCCCAGCAGCTCACTCATGCCCATGGCCTGCAGCTCCACCAGGCTGTAGGTGGCGCCAGAGATAAATGTCACCGTCTGCTCCTTCACGTTGAATAGCGAGGCAAAGCGCACCATCAGCACCTAGACAGGAAATGAGAACTTGTGACGCCTGCACCTCTCCCTGTCCACCAATAGAAACGATGGTGTGACATCACAGAGCGTCGTACCTCGAAGGTTCCCGCCTTCAGCAGAGTCACCTGGTCGTTCTGCGACAGAGTGCTGAATCCTGGGATGTGTTTGGCGAACTCCACCACCTCCCTGACAGCAGGCGTGAAGGACAGCGAGAAGTCCTCCCAGATCTCCTGAGGGCTTTTCCGGGGGTCGGCATGAGGCTGCATGTTCATTGGACAAGCCTGTGGAGAGAGGAGACCACAGTCAGTAAATCAGGTGACAGCTTGCTAAACCCCGCCCCCAGACAATCATCATCCAATCACAGCTTAGTACCAACACTACAGTGTGAAAATACTCTGATCAGATTGGTTCTCACCAGAACAATGCCCATGTGGTTCTTCATTGGACAGTTCTGTCCCTGGGACACATGATCAGCAAGTCTGTCTCCTTCAATCAGGTTAGTGTTATGCAGGCTCCGCCTCCCATTGCCGTGGTGATGGTTCGTGACGTTGCGTTCATTTCCTGGCGGCAGGTAGCACCCGGTGCCCAGGTTATTGTTGTTATGGTGAAAGATGGTGTTGAGGCCATTGGCATGGTAACCGTTGGGGCAACGGTTGGGCCCCCAAAGCTCCGCCTCCCCATTGTGGTGGTGGGCGTGGTTATTCTGCTGCTGCTGCTGCTGTTGCTGCTGCAGCAGTGTGGGATTGGCCAGCTTGTCGTGGGCATACAGGAAGGTCTCACGGTGAGCGCGGGC